GTTCCGATCACTCAGACCACTTTCAGTGGTTTTGGGCAGTGGTCAAAAAGACATATGGCCATATCACATTTGTAGCACAAACATGAAAGCACATGACTACACTGAAGTAGCAGCTCCTCATGTAACATCACATGGAATCATTATGGCAAAACAGACATTTTAAAATTTGCTGACTGGGTAGATACATAACACAAAAAAATATATTTTAAAGAATGTTGAAGAGTTTCGTAAAACGGCCTTGTAATACACAATCGCCAGGGTCAAATGCTGTGACAATGCTGAATTTGGGACCAAAAATGCTCATAGTTCTGTGTAATAGCGGGTGTGTAGCGGGCAGAAGAAGACTCAAAGTCAAAAGGATCCAAATCAGACAGTTTTACTAATATAAATCACAGGTACAAACAGGCAGGCAGGATGACGGGCAGGATAACACACACGTTGAATACAACTAACAACCGACAAGGACAGACTGAACAGGAAGGAACTAAATACAGACACTAATGAACAGAAACCAGGTGACACAAATGAAGGTGATTAACTATGCACAGGTGACAACGATGATGACAGGCAGGTGCGAAAACATGAGGGATGCTGGGAAGTGTAGTGAAGAGGCGGAGACAAGACAGACTGTGACACACACTTTAAACTTGCTGAAAGGTTTGATTTCAACAGAAATCAATGATCAACTTCAGTCTTCACATAATAGTGTTTTAACAGATTCACGTTTACTTTTTACGATCTGGTGTCTCAATCAACAACATAACAACAGTATATGGACCCGCAAACATAGCCTGAAATGGTGAGCCCACAACTGGCAAAAGTACCATTACTTGGTCACTTGGCTGGAAAATGCAAACTTCAGCTCATCGGTTAAACAAACATTTTATTTTGTCTTGTGCTTGACTAAGATGTATTCTAGCTAGGTGACAATGAAAAATGTTGAGACATTTCTAGTGGACGTTGTTTTCAAACGCGTTTTTGAAGTCACTTGCACATGCAGTTTTGTACGCGGCTACGCGCACCATCCGCATGGAAACAAAAATTGGGCTGCATGCGGACAGTTGTGCGCAGACGTCCAAGGACCCTCCTGATGGCGAAAATTACATCACGCAGAGAGTCACATTCAGTCGTGGAAAGCGGACGGCCGAAGTATACTTTGGCCTTTACACTGCATTTAAGGTAAACACTGTACAAGTTCTTGCTTTTCCTGGGAATCAAACCCATGACCTTTGAGTTATCAGTTCCATGCTCTACTGTTCAAGCTATAGGAAGGCAGAAGTTCCACAGAAGAAAGAAAGTCATACAGGTTTGTCTCAAGGCACCAATGTTATGACAAATCGGCTCAAAGCCTGTGGGTTTTTGAGGTGAGTAACAGACTCCCAGGTCCCTCTACTGTCACACTGTAAAAAGACCCTGGCACTGGACCGACCGTGTAAACTTCTGTTCACTTCAGTACAGTGCTGAGCATGAAGGATGCCTTGAGATCAATTTTCAACAACCCAAACCATAAGGGACAAAACCCCAAATCAGTCAAAGCCGCCTGTCCATCTGATCAGAAGAACCAATGCCAATATGGAGCTGACGCATGCACATATCAGATTTACACCAGTAAACTGCAGAATGGCAGTTTGCAAAACAGATTGGCATCTGCAAAAGGTATGATGCACAACACACTTCAAAGGCCTATTAACCAGGACATTCATGTTTTGTGTCTCTTCTTCAATATCTATTGTGGTTGTTCATCAATATCTTTAACATCAGACCAGACTCTGAGAAAAATTAACTACAATTCTGCAACTGCTGATAAACACATCTTCTCTGCCACTCTTTGATGAGTCATCCAACTTTCATGAAAACGAAATGTTAAGTATGCACTTCCTGATGCAAACGTCGATTAAACGCAATGAAATATGAGTCACGTAGACTGTTTTCCAGTAAAATGAATAAGAATCCAATTAAAACATTCTGAAACAGAATGAGGGTGACAGAAACAAAACACACACTTTTGTTTTACCTGTTCCTTAAAAGATGCAACTAATGCAAAGTTGCAGCTAAGGCTCAACGTATACTTCATTTTTATGCGTACACTAGCGTATGTGTACAGTGTGCGTGACAGATTTCTTCATCCGTATAGTACACACATACATGGCCATTTTTTCTAACCATTTGCCAAGTGTACCACATGTGCAGTGAATGTTTTGCAATTAATTGTTCCACAAGATGGCAACACTGGTCTGGGCTACAGTTTTCCCCCTGGCCATTGTTTCATGGTAAAAAAAAAAAGGAAGATACTGAGGAAGAGACTACTGGAGACTGCAAAAATAATAGATGGCCGCGTTGACAGCTGAACCCTGAAGTGCATGTTGTACGCATTTGATAACATTTGACACATGCTCAAGTTTAATTTTTTTTCCAGTGTTTGCGCCATTTCTCTCCAAAATGTATGTGAGGTAAAGAGTCGATTCTCGTTTAAACTACAGTTTTGTGTATCTCTTAACCCCCTCACACAAGCGCTTGTGAAAGTCTAAGTCTATTGTTGCGCTCTCTAAAGCCCCTTTCACACAGCGCATTGATCCTGGGAAATTGCCAGGAAATTGCTAGAACGCCTTCTGTGTGAATGCAAACACGACCCGGGATTGATGCCGGATTGGGGACCTAGTAATATTGCCGTGTTCAGTCCCGGAACGCGCGCTGTGTGAACAAAAGCCGTAATCAATGCCGTGTCGTAATGATGACGCTGAAGTGAAGTGAAAGCAGGCTAGTGAAACGGTACGTAATAGTTTATGATCGAATCAGGGAAAAAAATGCACAAGCGTGGTTTCTCGAGAGAGAAATCGCAGCTCATAAGCAAATTTAAGACGCTGCTGAGACATTACATGTCACATCGATGTCACGTGTCTTTACAGGATTTTTACGGGCTGTGTGTGAACGCACTCTCTGATTCCGGAAAATCACTGGCAGTGTGAATAAACCAAAATCAAATGAACCCGGGTCAAATCCCGGGTCACTTTATCCGTGTATTTTCCGGAATCTCTGTGTGAAAGGGGCTTAATAGTTTGTTTTTGTTGTTCCATCCTGGCTAAAAAACTCAAGAATAAACCAACATGAACTCCATGTTGGTCCAGGCTAGTTTATGTTGGTTAGAGCTGGTATAGTGCTGGTCTAACTGCTGGACCAGAGCATAGTCATGTTGATCTCAAGAAAAACCAATCTGGTGTAGCTGGTCTACCAGCACTCACGCTTCCCATGCTGGGGACCAGAAAACCAACACCCAGCATCCCATGCTAGTCTCAGCATGCAAAACATAACTTATAGTGGTGATATTTCAATACAATGCTAAATCATAAATCAGATGTACCTATGTACAATAACATACCGATGTCCAGCAATCGATTTAAATAGTACATTGTGTTTAATTTGTCGTTTAATGAGATCAAATATGTGTTGGTGCCGAGGATTTTCAGGTGAAACAATGCATAGATCCATTAATGGTCCAGTGGCAGAACTTTTGCCAAGCGTGTCAGAGGTTCTGGGTTCTAATCCGTACTCGTATAGTTTTTTTGTTGTTTTTTTCTCATTAAAACCGATTATGTTTATCAGGGGTTGTATATCAAGCAGGGACACGTTTGTGTGCATTTTACATTGTGATTTCAACAGAACAAATAGAGAGTCTCCGCAACGGATTGAAGCGCGCGTCCGAGTGAAGACTGTGCGTTGGCCACAACAGAACACTGTATCCACGCCACTGATGGATCCACGCCAGCGACAACGAGCACTTTGATCACTTGATTTCAAAAACAACACATTTCAGCGCTAGATCGCCTCTTATTTAACAAACGAACGAAATTAATGCTCTGCTAGTTAACTAGAGATGTTTTGTTTATTTGTATTAGTTACATCTGTGCCGCGAGATGTTTCAAAAGTGGTGGGGACAATATCGACCATGGCAAAAAGTGGTGGGGACATGTCCCATCTGTGCCGCGAGATGTTTCAAAAGTGGTGGGGACAATATCGACCATGGCAAAACGCCCCACCCGCAAATTACGCCTATGTGCGACTCGCATAACACCAGAGCTACTAGCATTGACATGAATAGGAATGCTAACGGTTAACTCTTTCCAGATTTATTAAACCTCTTTGGGTTATGATTGCTAAGGTGCTTGGTGGCATCTTGTCTCAGAGATAACCATTCAAAATACAACATATGCCTTTCCAAAACATGACAATTGTTTGCCTCTCTTCGTATGACTATTCCTGGAGAAATTCCTGGCTTACAGTTTTGCAAACTGTGCCATTACACCACTGATTGTGCGGACACAAGGTCTGTGTAAACACGAGGAGATGTTTGATATGCAGCATCTAGATCAGTGTGAGAGGCAAGTGATCATATGTTCTGCCTCCAGGAGCAGGAGTTGAGCCGAGAGGATGAAGGACCTCTTGAAGTGGGCCATCTCTGATGTGTATCCAGGGAAGGCAGGGGTATGATAGGATTTGGGCCGTAGCAAGTGTTCGTGATAGAGGCACATCTGGGAGGTTATCTGAGTGGAATCAATGCCACAGTGGATCTGGGTCCAATGATTGCACAAAAGTGTTTTTTTTTTTTTTCAGCTACACTGGAGGCAACATTAAGATCAGAAAGTTGCAGCTCTTCATATGTTTTCCAGAAAGAGCAGCTGCACAGACTCAGCAGAAGTCTGCATTTCAAACAATGGCATATGTTAATAGAACTATCCCATTTTCAGCTTTGAGTGTTCACTGTGTTCATTTTATTTAAAAATAAATGCATCTCGAAGGCCTGATGCCATACATTGTGTCTGTCACTATCATTTTATTTTATTTTTATTTCAAACATCCAGTGAGTATTTACTGTGTCAGACAGCACAGGACGTCTGTGTTTATAAGAAATATTGTATTAGGTATAATGGTTAACAGGGACATGATTCAAGCAGTCTTTAAATGACAGGTAATGCAATCACAGAAAGTTTGCAAGGATGTCTTACCTTCACTGGATGATCCGGACAAGTCAATAATGACAAAGACCTTCCCCTCTGGCTCCAAGTCTATCTGTAAGGACCATCCAGAAAAGAAAATTATGTTTCAGCAGCAAAGCAAAGGAACATCTTCAATAATCTTCACTGGCCTCTATACTCAATGCAATAATTTTAAGAGTCAACTTAATGTTCTAGAGTAAACACATTTTCTGAAAAAAAGCAGACTGGATCTTTATAACAATAATAGGTGTTACAATTTCTCCCAATAAATTCCCAACACTTACAAATAAGTAAGAACTAGGAATTTATCACAAATAATCCAACTATATTAGCAGTACCAGAATAGTTTTTTTTTTTTTGCTTGCTTATACATCATCTATATTTTTAAACTAAAATCTTTGTTGAGAGACTTGAATACATGCTAAATTGTATATAAATATGTTTTAGCAGTTTATTTTCTAAATTATTTAACAAAATACATAATTTTTGGCTAACATGCTGGTGTTTTAAATAATCGGATTAATCCACCATGTTGGAAATGTGTGTGTTTCATGCCCATTTGAACCAAGTGGATTTTGAAAGCCAAAACTAAAGGTTCAGTCATCATTTACACACTCTCATGAAGCTCAAAAACCCATTTGAATTTTCCCAGTGGAACAAAAAAGATATTATCAAAATGTCAAAGTTGCTTTTTTGTAGCAAAAATGCATGATGATCACACAGTCAAGTTCAGATGTAATTCTGTTGTATTAAAAAAATACATCCATGTGCATACTATACATACAATAAATTAGTGTCGGTAATTTCATGCTTCATTAGATTTGCACACCACCTGCGAAAGCCTTACTGATCAGTAATGATACTAATGGAAATAAACAAGCACACATGGTCAGGATTAGCCGAATAAATGCTGAATATGTGGCACCAGCAGAGGAAACAGCACAGTATCTAAGTGAACATGAGCCCTGTGAGGGTTGTGCTGAGGCAGAAATGACTGATATTAGGCCCAGTTCTCCTCTCAGCAGCTAATGACAGCATAACGGCTGTTCCATCAAAACCAGATTAAAGCAGGAAATGGAGGGAGGATGTGGGGATGAGTGGAGAGATTTGTACATGCTATGAGAGTAAAGTGAGAGAGAGAGAGAGAGAGAGAGAGAGAGACAGTGAGGATGTGTGTGGGAGTTGGGTTAGAGGCGAGCCGTATCATGTTAGTGCAGTCAACACAGGTTTTACACAGGATGCACCAGTGCAAAGAAGAAAAAAACCTGCTGCAAGCGCACGCACACGCAAAATTCACACTCCCAATACAAAAAGCGCCGGTATCAAAAGTGAAATAGCTGAGATTCTTAAATATTCACTAAATCACATACATTAACATGGCGAAATAGATTTCATGAGACAAAACTGTTCGTTAGCAGGCAGAATACACGTCTATTGCAGTTCAAAAAGTTTGGGGTCAGCAATATTATTTTAATGTTTTTTTTTTAAGAAATGTCGGAAGTATGCTCACCAAGCCATTTATTTGATCAAAATACAGAAAAAAAGTAATACTGTGAAATATTATAACAATTCAAAAATAATTGTTTTCTATTATAATATATTTTAAAATACAATTTATTCCTGTGCTTGTCAGGATTATGTTATAGTCTGTTTAGTTTTCATTGTGTTTTGGTTTCGTTTTCCCTGTTCCTGTTTTTCCTGAGTTCTGTTTGCTACTCAGGCCAGGGTACTTTTACACGACACTGATGTACTAAAAGCGGAAATGTTTTTCCTTCACGTTTTTCACGAACAGACGGCAAGGTTGTCGAACCGATCCCCGTTTACATGGAGACAATAACAGTACAGTTTTTAAAACCTTGCACTTTGAAACCTGTTTTCAAAAGTTTGCATTTTCAGGCCCCCAAAATGCTGTTGTCGTTTTCCGTTTTTAGTTGGAAACTGTGTCGTGTAAACGGCCCCTTATTAGTTACTGATCATGTTCACCTGTTGTTCATTGCATTTCCTCGTTATCTTCGTATATTTAAGGGGCTGTTTACACGACATGGTTTTCAACTAATAACAAAATAAAATTATGCATTTTGGTCGTTCATTTACGCAACAACAGCGTTTTGGGTGCCTGAAAACACAAACTTTTGAAAACGCTCATTTTTTTTCAGTATTCTTTAATCAATAGAAAGTTCAAAAGAACAGCATTCATTTGAAATAGAAATCTTTTGTATTATAAATGTCTTTACTGTCACTTTTGATCAATTTAATATATCCTTGCTGAATAAAAATATTAATTTATTTAAATATATACAGTATATATAGAAATTGCTTACTGCACCTTTAAAAGTACCATAAATATTCAATTAAATTCCCTAGATTCTCATTTAGGGTATGTTTACATGACAACTAAAAACAAACAAGTTCAAATGTGATAACGGTATCGTTTTTCAAAACGTGCACTTCAAAACTTTGCAGAATTTATGAATATTCAAATTAAACTTAAATTTTTCAAAGCACAACTTGTCTTTTAATGCCCTGAGGCTGCTGTGGGGTTTCTTCACTCGTTGCATGATAAAGGATGAATGAATCAGGATTTTACAAAATCCATACTGGAGGGCCTCCAGAACATTCATGATGCAGTGATTTACTGGTCTTTAGAATGCTTGCTATAGTGTTTGTTATCCCAAATGACCTTGTGACCTTCTCTCTGCCTCCCACTTCCTGTGATGTCATGCTGAAGCTGATCTCTGAATGCTTTTTGTCTTGCAGGTGTGACGACACAATAAATATAGCAGCTACAGTAGTTGTAGCAGGAAAGAGAATGAGTGAATGTTTAAGTCTGGAAATATTGTGTGTATGAGCAGCTTTGTGTTCCACAAATGAAAGTAAGTCATACAGTTTTGGAATACAGTAAATAAACGATGACATTTTTATTTTTATTCGAATTACTCCTTAAAGGGGTCATATAATGGTACATGCACTTTTACAAGTTGATTGTACTGAAATGTGTGTTGGCAGTGTCTGTACACAACCATCATATAATGATAAAAATCCATCCAGTGGTTTTGTTTTAATCTCCTTATATGTTTTCCCCTGCCTCAAATCGAGCCGTTCGAGCTTGTGACGTCACACGCTCGGAAGCCCCTCCCCTCCCACGATTGTTGATTGACAGGAGCGTTTCAACACAGACCCGCCCTCGCTCATGAGGGAGCTGTCAATCATAGTCTCCGTGGCGCGGACCGGCGCGGTCATTGTTGATATGCTGGAGCACTGTCTATGAGCAGAATGGCGTCTAAGCGATTGTGGTGTTCTGTTCTTGGGTGTAATAAGGAACACAGCAGTCATTTTAATGTTCCTAAATCCGAACCGATGAAGACGCAGTGGCTGTGTTTGTTTTCGAAGGGAATATTCCCCACGAGCAACGTCAATGCTCTCATGTTTGCGCGAATCATTTCACACACCAGACTGCTTTATAAACGAGGATCAGTAAAGCTGGATTTGCTAAGAAGCTGCTCATGAAAAAAGGATCGGTACCAGATATTCGTGTTCCTGCTGAATCTCCAGAAGAACGGAAGTGAGTGTAACGTTTTATTAAACTTTATATTAATATATTAATCTTTGCAAATCGCTAGCTGCACGCTTCACAATGAATGCGTCTAAGGTTTACACTCAGGGTACATTACAGCATGTTTTCTATGTATGACGTTCTCAATATAATTCATAATCCCACGTTTATACTGAACAACGCGTTATGGTTATTGTGTTATTGTGTTATAAACGGTGTATGCACAGAACAGAGAGGCGGGGTGAGCAAAGCTCATTATCATTTAAAGTCATATGCACTGAAACGGCATGCTGAAACAGAGCTGTTTTTGACCAGGTAAAATAAGTGTTTTCTTACAATACTAATGAGAATTTTTAATTAAAGTATATTACAAACTTTTAATTTAGACCCTAAAGAATCATATTAGCTTGTACAAAAATGGCATTATATGACCCCTTTAATTAACTGTATGAATTTAGGAAATATTTTGTAACATTGATTGTGGCTGTTTTTACTCAACAATTTAATGTTTCATTTGCATCTATTTGGGTGATCTTGATGTTTTTTTCCACCAGATATATTTAACAGAGAAACCGTGCCAACTCCATTTCTGTCCTATTGCAGCAGAGGAACTGTGTGAGGTGGAGACGTGACGTGTGTGTTTGACAGCATCCAGATGTTCCCTTATTACATATATAGTTGTGGCGAGCAGGACGAGGCCGAGGGACGCGAGAGAATGGCGCGAGGCCGGTGGCGTGAGTGATAATGAACGACACCTGTGAGACGCACCGGTCTCACATCTCTCACGGAGGAGCGGAAGCATAAAGAAGGAGCGACGACAGTGAAGATCGAGAGAGGAACAGGCCTGAACCTATGTTGTGTTCTCTCTTTCTCTTTTGTGTAGCCAGCAGTCGTCCGCGAGGGGCTGCTGGCTTATACTTTCATTTTGTATGTGTTCATTTTATTATTAAATTGTTGAATGTTCGCCGGTTCCCGCCTCCTTCTTCCCATAACAACTGAACCCCGTTACATCAGTAAATATTTTTTAGTATACAAATGTAAACATTTCTATCATACTTATTTTTGACACACAGTGACGCATGCAAACACACCAAAATAAAAAATTGCTCAGCTAGATTCAATTCAGGCACTTTCCTCTCATCCGCCTCCACACGGCCACATACAATATGTTTAGGTATTCATTCATTCATATCCTTGCTTCATGGTCATATGTGGTCGAACAGCCGCAAAAGTCTCCCTCGTCTACTTTATCGTACATCCTTATATGTAATTTTATAAATACTTACAATTGTTTTTGAAATATGGTATACTGCTGAATGTAACTGGCAAGCATTTATGGTAAAACTAAAACATGCTTTAATTTCATTTCTATTGAAATTTGTATGTAATGCATTTCAATCTATTTGTAATTATTTTAAGTTGCAATTTAGTACATATAAAATACTGCATATAAATTTTAAATGTAATATTGACATAATAACACTACAGTTAAAATGATAATGAAGTACTTTACATGTGAT